TGCCACCGCCTGTGGCACCGTGGATTCCTTTTTAGCGGTAAACTGAATTGGTGAAACAAAAATTATTAATTTTATACCTAGTTTTATTTGATTGCTAAATGATAATATAATTGCATTCAACGCGTACGCGCGTTACTACTGAAAATGCCAGACTTTGTATTGACTTTTGTAAAATAGCGCAAAATTGAAAACACTGCGGGGATATCACGATACTCACATGCTAGAAATTTAACTGGGAAAACATTTGAATTTGTATTGCTATTCGAATTGTTTTAAATAAATTGAATGATAAAATTTTGTAAAATTATTATGTTTCTAAAGATTATTTTATTTGTTCAATATATAAGCGAAATTGGGCCGTGTGGTTACGGTGTCAGAAAATTCCTCACGGCATTCCTTCCCGTCGCTGTCATAAGAGATGTCTAAGAGAAATGTAAAATGTGTAAAATAAGTGGCATCTTTTAGGCTCAGGGGATAATTGTATCCTATTAAGACAAAAATAACAATTTTTAAAAATTTGTTTTGTCTATTTTCCTGTCCGGGCTAATCTTCGGAATTGCTTAACCGATTATGATGAATATTTATGTACATATAGAGCATAATGCCAGGAGTAATTTAGACTATATTTCATCCCCTATGCATAAAGTTAAAAAAATATACATTTCATAGGTTTTGATTGCCTTAAAACTAAATAACGCCATATTAATATAGACACTTCAAGGCAAAGCCGGGGCGTATATAATAGCTTATTATACAAGGTGGCAATGAGTAATTTAAATTTTGATAATTTCATCATAAAAAAGTAATAAGTTTAAAACAATGAATGCAAATTCAGTTTTTGAACACAATGTCATCCAGATGACCACCATAACGACGCTAGCATTCGTGAAAGCACGCCCTAAAATTTTCCACCACCTGCAGGTTGCTTGTGGAATCGCTGCAATTTCCTGGTGGATGTTTTGATTTATTTGATCCGTAATCCTAGGATTATTTGCATAAATGCAGCTCTTGAGATAATCCCACAAGAAATAATCTGCTGTGCTCAAATCTAGGCTTCGACGCGACTAGTCAATATTATACCTTCGAGAAATTACTTTTCTTGAGCCCATTTTGTGAACTACGCCTAAACTGATATTTGATAAGTTGCCCCGTCTTGCTGGACCATGTTATGGAATTATACCCATGAAATTCTTGCAACTCTGCTCTCAAATAGTGCCTCAGCATTAGAGAAGTCTCTAGTAGTAGTAGAGTTTACTCAGGGAGGAGAGTCGCTCTAGTAGTAGTAGAGTTTCCTCACGGCTCGATTCATGGCCCATTCCTGTTCTTAGTTTAAACTAATGACTTACCTTGTCTTGTAGGGGACAATCACGACATAGTATTGTTTGCTGATGATATCTCTTTAATTTTCAAACTCAAACGACAGTCAATTTTGAGAATGTAAATAATGCTCTATCGAAATTAGTACATTGGTTTTACGCGACCAATTTACTCTTAAACGGCAATAAGACAAAATGTATTAAATTTAAAATACCTAATGTTAAACATTCAAATAGCAATGTGCTTTTAAATGGGGAGGAGTTGAGTCTTGTGGATACCACTGTTTTTCTTGGTATTACTATTGACGCGAAGCTTCAATGGGGCCCCCATATATCTAAATTAGCAAGCAGACTTAGTTTTGCAGCATATGCTGTAAGAAAGATTAGAAGTTTCACCAATTATGAGATATTATGAGCTAGATTTATATATTTTTGTAACTTCCATAACGTGATGTATTATGGAAGTTTGCTATGGGGTAATGCGACTAACATATATATATATATATATATATATAGCTTAATATTTGTTTTGTGAAAGAGAGCCGTACTGGCGATTTATACTCGTACCTTAAATTTCAATGAGTCCCTTATAGAAAAAATTCAAGAAATAAGTATATTAACATTAGCATCGCAATATATTTTTGAAAATGTTATGTATACAGATGTTCATACTTTAACCACTAGGAACAAACATAAGCTTATAATACCAGTTACTAGGCTCCACAGAATTAGTAATTCATTTATGGGCAATGTACGCTTATACAATAAAATCCCAATAAATGTACAAAATTTGTTATTATATAAGTTCAAATATTTTATTAAAGAAAAATTGTACAAAAGGGGTTATTATAATATCAAAGAATAAATAAGTGAAAAAAAAACCCTAGGAATGAGGTGATCGACACCATAGTCGTTCTATTAAAACTCGTTTAAAATTTGTACAAACTAAAAACAAAATTAATGTAAAGTGAAATATGTTTTAAAAAGTCCTGCTGCGTTTCTTGCTGGTTCTCAGTAGGACAGAGGTATTTTCCAAACCAGTGATAAATAAAAAAATTACTTTCAATAAGTATTATGTAATAATCTATATTGAATAAAATTATTCTATTCTATTATATTATAGTATATAGTTCAAAGTTGACAATAACTGCTCTACCCCGTGCATTCTCAAAGAAATAAGGGCCTATTATTCCGCCCGCAGAAATAGCTGCCTATACCGTGACTCGTGCAGAATAGAGTGGTTTCTGGTGTTTTAGTCTTGGCTGTTCTCTACTCCAATAGCGCTAGTTCTGTTTATTTACGGCGCCGTTATTGAATGAGTTATAACATAGCCTCATAGGTAAAGAGCCTACACAGCAGCGACCCCGATACATCGCAGCGGCACGAGGCGCAACTCAGCAGAACGTGAGCATTGACGTCAACGGATGCAACCGGAGCTCTGCAATATACCTTTACCTTATTTTTACTGTAATAATTAAAATTCATTCTAGATCTAGCATCGATCTGATTCACTTATATTTTAGTTATAGTAATTATATTGTAATTTTTATATTATAATAAAGTATTTTAAACTAGTTTCGGTTTTTTTTGGGTCCTTCGGCTGCAGTTAACGTAATTAATGTATGTTATTGAAGTTATGGAACTGGTTGAACATTTCAGACGTAAAATCCAAATTTCTAACTTAATAATTTTCATTAAATTCTTGGACGAGCAGTATTTTAAACGGATGAAGCTTTAGGTCTATTCTAAAATAATAAAGCGTAAGAGTTTTTTTTGTTTGTTTAAACATGTTTATCTCTGGAACTACTAGTCTGATTTGAAAAATTCTTTTGGTATATTATAGCCAAATTTATGCAGAATAGTATACGCTTTACGACATCACCTCACGGCTAGCCTTAAATATCGCGTGCTCTGGTTTAGTGGTTTGTGATACGTAAATACAATGCTCTACAAAAGTATAGACTATTACACCTTTTATAAAAAAAGTCAGCGACTTCATATGCCTATCTCTTATACATAAGCAACAATAAGGTATTATGTGATAAAAAATATTGAAAATTAAAAATGATTTATGTTCATTTTTATTAGGCGTTGTATATTAATCCTTACGAACGAAAGTTACTACATCATAAACACAATTTTATGGATATAAACTTTGATCCTTATAGCTCGTTACCTGGACGCGTAGTTTAAGATAAAATAAAAAATTAAAATAATTTTACACTAGGCTTGGTGCGCGAACGACGCATAAATTGCTCCGTCTAGACGCCTTTGATGACCGACTGTTAGTAGTAGTTAGACTCTGCCGATAGGCTGCATACTAGCTAAAACCGAGCATGCGGCCGAGAACTTAGAGAAACCATCAGTGAACGCCGGTGCGCGAGATGTCAAAATATATAGGCGTAATTGAGGTGCATGTGCCATTACATTTACCAAGTGTTCGGCGGTGAAGTAAAACACCGAGAGCAAATCTGCATGTCTGAAAAATAAAAAAAAATTTCGAAGACATGTGAAGTCGGCCAACACATATTAGGGCAGCGCGATGGACACTTCCTTGCCCAAAAACCTCTCAAAAGTGAGAAGATGCCTGTGCCCAGCAATGAGACGTGTTAGGTAACATCCAAAAGTTTCTGGCCCACGCACATTAGGTTAATCAAACATTCAAAAATATATTCGTTACCTTATTACTGCAACAAAAAAATTATAAAATTATTTAATTTTTTTGCAGTCATATAGATTCATAAAGTCAGACTGTCGATTAAACATTTTGAATTGTATAAAATTGTGTATCAAGCTGTGATAATTAAGAGTATTTAACAAAAGAGGGGAAGACACCAGTGCAAATCAAACAGCGTTTGTATGCTGTGTCCCGTACACATTCCCTTCGTACTCCACCATAAAAGAATGACAGAAACAATTTCTTTTTAGAAGGGAATCAATTGATGATGAACCGCACCCAGGACGAGCACCCGAGGCTTTTACGGATGAAAATACAAAATTTGTGGAGAAGACAGTACGGAAAGATACGAAAAAATTTGCAGCTATGACGGGACTAATACAAACAACAGTCTCTCTGCACGAACAACAGAATCCTACGCGAACAATTGGGTATGAATAATGTTAGTAATCTTTCATAAAAGGAATGAATGGAGCGGCGTAGTCCGAGTATACCTTACCTTTACCTTATTTTTACTGTAATAATTAAAATTCATTCTAGATCTAGCATCGATCTGATTCACTTATATTTTAGTTATAGTAATTATATTGTAATTTTTATATTATAATAAAGTATTTTAAACTAGTTTCGGTTTTTTTTTGGGTCCTTCGGCTGCAGTTAACGTAATTGGCGCAGTCGGTAGGATACTCAAAAGTTAGTTAGGCTATCGTAGCTTTCAAGCTTTAAACGAGTATTCGAATCTACTATGGGTCAACTGCAAGCCAAGAGGATACATCAAGACATCGATCCCGAGAAAACCGAGATGAAATTTATGTAAGTACACCAGAATTTTATCTAGTGTTGCTTTCCTTTTCCTAATGTAAATCTTTCCTGTCAACATTTTCTATCCAAGGAAATCATCCCACTGTGACCCTACATCGCGTAGGCAGCCACGTAGAGAAAGTTTAGACTATAATAGAGATTTAAGTTGTTATTTAGAGCTAGATATAATTACCGAGGAATCAAAAATGGCCCAAGACCCTGACACTATTTTCAAAGTTTTACGCCCAGTGCCAGAGTTTGACGGTAATCCTAATGTACTAACTAGGTTTATAAAATTATGTGACCAAATATGTGCTGCATATCTAAGTAATGAACCTGGCAGTGAACTATCGAACTTATGTTTGCTTAACGGTATATTAAATAAAATAACTGGACCCGCCGCGACTACTTTAAATTCAAATGGTATTCCTGAAAGCTGGCATGGCATTCGTACAGCTTTAATCAATAACTTTTCGGACCAAAGAGACGAAACGGCGCTCTATAATGACCTCTCATTAGCTACTCAGGGGAACAGCTCTCCCCAAGAATTTTATGCACGATGTCAGACACTGTTCAGCACTATCATGACGTATGTTACGCTTCATGAAACCTTGCCTACTACAATAGAAGCCAAACGTGTATTATATAAGAATCTAACGAAGCAAGCTTTCGTGCGCGGTTTAAAGGAGCCACTGGGCTCACGAATACGTTGCATGCGTCCTGATACCGTTGAAAAAGCCTTGGAGTTTGTACAGGAAGAACTGAATGTTATGTACTTGCAATAACGCGGTGAACCTTTCGCCGAGAGGAAACTTCAAGCACCTAAGCCTCTCCAACCTAGCTACATGACCTTACCATTGCAAAAACCATTCAGTTTTCCTGCACCGATACCAATGCCCAATTTACAGCGACCTTTACATGTACCACAGCAGCAAGGTTTTAGGCCTAACGTGCCACCACAGTATAACATGCCTACGAGAACTCAACAAATGTTCCGCGCTTTGCCACCTAATTATAAACCCCATAGTAATACGTTTAGATTACCAAATAGGAATCCACCCCATGACTCAGGTCCGAAGCCTATGAGTGGGGTTAGCCATTACGTACCTAAACCAATGCCTCCGACAGGTCTGACCGGTCATGACTGGCGCAAATACGGTAACCCGCCGCCTTCAAATTTCTTCAAAAGTAGGGAAATGAATTTTAACGAATGTGCTGATTACGATAGTTACTATTATCCTGAACACCAATACGACTATTACGACTATAATGATAATGACGACTATACCAATACTGTGACCTATGACTATGACGACACACAGCATTACCAATACCATGACGCAACTGAGATAAACGAACAAGATAACATAGACTGCCAACCTTCTACAAGCAGTTCGCCTCAGGATTTTCAAAAGACTCGTTTTTCAAAAAAGCCAAAATAGAAGTTAACTTACATACGCAGAGACAGCTTCCATACATATGTATTTCTAACCCTCCGTTAAAATTTCTAATCGATACCGGAGCGAATCAGTCCTTCATTAATCCGGAAGCTATACAAAAATATTTTTCACATATACCTTTAAATTATGATCCGTTCGAGGTAACGAATGTGCATGCTACAACTAGGAATAATTATTCGATAACTATTCCATGCTTTTCCGAATTCCAAGAGCCTGATAGTATTAAATTATATATTTATAAATTTCACGATTACTTTGATGGCCTTATTGGTCTCGACCTATTAGAGAAATGGGAAGCTAGAATAGATCTAAAGGATAGATTACTTGTAACACGATTAGCTTACAACCCCATCTTAATGTATAACTCTAGAAATGTTAATTTTTACGAGGACGTGATACCATCCCAATCTTCAAAATTAATAAAAGTACCTATTAATGTCCATGACGGAGAAGCCTTAGTTAGTGAACAATACATCTCTAATTGCGTGATAAACGAATGTCTAACAGTAGTGTCAAATAACCGCGGTATTATAGAGGTATTTAACCCGACTCCGCACGATATAATTTTCTCCCTAGATCGTCCAATATGTGCTGAGACGTATAACATCGAGTCCTCTCACAACGTTCAACCACTCCCACATTACAAAGAAGTATTATCACGTTTACGCACCGATCATCTAAATGCCGAAGAACGCGCTAATATAGAAAGATTATGTGCCAAATACGCCGACGTTTTTTATATAGAAGGCGAACAGCTCACATTTACAAATAAATTAAAGCATAGCATCCGGACCACTGATGAGATACCGATATATACTAAAAGCTATCGGTACCCTTACGTTCATAGAGACGAAGTTAAACAACAAATCAGTAAAATGTTAGAGCAAGGTATAATTCGTCCGTCCGAATCTGCATGGAGCTCTCCCATCTGGATAGTTCCTAAAAAGGTTGATGCTTCTGGCAAGACTAAATGGCGACTCGTAGTCGACTTTAGGAAGCTAAATGAAAAAACCATTAGTGATAAATACCCAATACCGAATATATCGGATGTACTAGATAAGTTAGGAAATTGCCAATATTTCACAACCTTGGATTTAGCCAGTGGATTTTACCAGGTCGAAATGAACCCTAGTTACATACCGAAAACAGCATTCAACGTTGAACATGGGCATTTCGAGTTCTTACGGATGCCCATGGGCCTGAAGAACTCGCCATCCACGTTTCAGCGTGTCATGGATAACGTGCTCCGTGACCTACAGAATACAGTTTGTCTCGTGTACTTAGACGATATTATTGTGTTCAGCACTTCCTTGCAAGAACACATGGTAAATCTTGAGAAAGTATATCAGAAACTACGGGAATCTAACTTTAAAATACAAATGGATAAATCCGAGTTTCTTAAATTGGAAACCGCTTATTTAGGACATATAATTAGTAAAGATGGCATTAAGCCAAATCCTAGTAAAATATCAGCCATAGAAAAGTATCCATTACCCAAAACCGCAAAAGAGATTAAACAGTTTTTAGGCCTTATAGGTTATTATCGGAAGTTCATCCCAGACTTTGCACGAATTACTAAACCTCTGACACAATGTCTAAAAAAGGGACGAAAAATAACTCTTGACACAGACTATATTAACTGCTTCGAAAAGTGCAAGACTCTCTTGACTAACGACCCAATCCTTCAATATCCTGACTTCAACAAAGAATTCATCCTGACCACTGACGCATCCAATGTAGCGATAGGAGCCATCCTATCTCAAGGACCCATAGGATCAGACAAACCTGTATGTTACGCTTCTAGAACTCTAAATGAGAGCGAAGTGAACTACAGCACTATAGAGAAAGAACTCCTTGCCATCGTGTGGGCAACCAAGTACTTTAGACCCTACCTATTTGGCCGTACTTTAAAAATCTTAACTGATCATAAACCCCTTCAGTGGGTAATGAATCTTAAGGAACCGAACTCGCGACTTACTAGGTGGAAATTAAAATTAAGCGAATACGATTTTTCTGTCATATATAAAAAAGGAAAAAATAACACCAATGCCGATGCGCTTTCCCGGGTGGAAATACATAACGAAGAATCGTGTTCTATGTTAGCTAACCCATCAGTAAAAACAGCCCCTAACACTGGCTCGACTACTCAAACGGCCCACACAAGCCAAGAAAATCCGATCCTTGAAATTCCTATTACCGACGAACCTCTTAATAAATTCCACAGACAACTAATATTAACAATTGTAGGCGACATAAAAAGACGACCAATAGTGACCAAACCTTTTGATACACATACTCGAACAGCTGTACAGATAAGACAACCGGAAATGGAAGTAGACCTTGTCAACGCCACAAAAGAATACGTTAACCCAAAAGTCAAAACCGGATTATTAATTAACCCCCCTCTTTGCATGTATGACGTCATTCCAATCTTACAAGATAAATTCAGAAGCTCGTCTATGAATCTAGTATTAACTAAAGTTGAGGTCGAAAATATAAAAGAATATTTACAACAACAAGAAATAATAAAGAACTACCACGAAGGTAAAACTAACCATCGCGGTATCAACGAAAGTTTCCTGGCCCTTTCCAAACGATACTATTGGCCCAAAATGAGGGAACACATTACGAAATATATTAATGAATGTACCATATGTGGTCAGGCTAAGTACGATAGGAAACCTCTAAAACCTCAATTCAATATCGTTCCCCCCGCTACCAAACCTTTCGAGATTATCCATATGGACATGTTCACAGTACATAATGAAAAAGTATCACACATTTATAGACGTATTCTCCAAATATGCTCAAGCGTATCATTTAAGAGACGGAACAGCATTGAGCATTTTACAAAGCCTACTTACCTTCTGTACGCATCATGGTCTTCCTCTTTCTATTGTCACCGACAATGGGACCGAATTTACGAACCAGCTATTTACTGAGTTCGTACAATTACACAAAATTAACCATCATAGAACGTTAGCCCACTGTCCCAACGACAACGGTAATATAGAGCGGTTCCACTCGACTATACTGGAACATCTGCGATTCCTAAAACTACAAAAGAAAGACGAGCATGTAGTAAATCTAATGCCCTATGCTATCCTAGGATACAATAGTTCTGTACATAGTTTCACTAAATGTAGGCCTTACGATATTGTCAATGGACATTTCAACCGAAGAGACCCAATCGACATCGACTTGACAAAACATTTACTGCAGCAATACATACTAACACACCGAGATCGAATGAAAACAGTGTATGAAATAATTAACGAACATTCTTTCTCCGAACGCTCAGCATTAATAAATAATCGGAATAAATCACGGGAACCAGAGGTTGAATACCAACCAAACCAACAAGTTTTCGTTTCCAACCCCCTAGCTAGCCGACAAAAATTAGCCCCACGTTACACCCATGATCATGTTCTAGCTGACTTACCAATACACATTTACACGTCTAGGAAACGCGGTCCGATAGGGAAGTCTAGACTTAAACGTGTACCTAAAACTGCCGATTTGTTACAGAACTCTAAAATTACTGACTGTACTGACCATGCTGACGATCGAAGCCCAGGAGATAAAACTTGAATATCTTGAAGACGGACCAGGCCTACTACCATTTAGACTTGGACCAACGACTCTCATAACTCACTATCATACATTTCTTCAATATGTAAAACTTGACGACATCAGAGACAAAGTAACCTTATTGCAGGTACAGCTACAGAACTACAAGAACAGACTTGATAATGACACCAACTTACTGTACGAATTACAAATGGACTATCTTTCTAGCAAACTAGACAAAGTATTATTACAACTAAATAGCTTAGAGCCTAGTCGCACTAAGAGAGGTCTAGTAGACGGATTAGGCTCAGTGATCAAAAGCGTAACCGGTAATCTAGATTATTTAGATGCCGCGAAATATAATAATGCCATAAAAGTTTTAAATGATAACCAAGATAGGATCGAATCTGAATCCAATAGTCACATTAGCATTAGTAAAGAGTGGATGTTACAACATAATAGTGTGATATCCCAGATAATTGAAAACGAGAACAAAATTAACTCAACGCTTATCCAATTACTAGATAGAGCCGCTTATAAAGACAGTAGCCTCATCAAGTATGCTAAGTTTGCCCAACTACTAACAATTTTAACAGAAAATATTGATGATATGCTCAATGAGCTTAATAGGATAGAAAATATATTAGCATTTAGTCGTGCATCGATCACCCACCATTCTACGTTAAGTGTTAAGGTAATTAAGTCTATGTTAGTAAGATTAAGACAAATTTATGATAAGGAACATGTATTAAATTTAGAGACTAGAGAATATTACGATATCATTAAGTCAGGTTATTATTTTACAGAAAATCAAATAGTAATTGTTCTGAAATTCCCTGTTATTTCCAAAGACACCTTCGACCTATTCCGCTTATCCATTGTACCTAACAAAACCACCAATCTATTATTCCACCCTATCCTTTAATAGCAACAAATAGAGAAAAATTCGTGTACATGGAGACAGAATGTCCGAAGTTGAGTAATCGGTACCTATGCGAAAAGGAAACGAACACCCAAATTCGAACACAATCCGACTGTATCCAGAACCTCATCATCAATCAGTCTATATCAAAATCCTGTAAGATAACCGACATTGCACTATCAAAAGAAGCCATGGAACGTCTTGACGACAAGCACTACACCATCTCTTTCCCTCAACCAACTAAAGTCCATACAGTATGCGGGCGTGAAGATATTACTACATTACAAGGTAGTTACTTAGCTACAATACCAATTAATTGCTTCCTGCGAACACAAGAATTCACCATCACCAATATTAACGATCAAGTAGAAGGCCATCCACTGAAACTAATGAAAATACCAATGGATATAAACGCAAAAGGCAACCCAGCAGTACCACGAATCAGCCTTAATACAATTAACCTGAAAGGACTCCACGCAGCCCAGGACCAACTCATGATGCAACCACCACTTCATCTGAGAGAGATGGATCTCCCAACTTTATATCACACCACTATTCCCTTTTACGCCGTGTTATCAAGCATTGCAATATTCGCTATCATAATCTCAGTTCGTTATTACTACAAGACTAAGAAGCAAGAACAGATCCAGAATAGCACCCAACATAGCTATGAAAAGCCCGAAGAATCTGAAGTCAAAAAGGCATTACCAGCAACTTTTTCTCTCAAGGTTCTAAAATAGTTGCTGATCTGAGGGTGGAGGAGTTATAACATAGCCTCATAGGTAAAGAGCCTACACAGCAGCGACCCCGATACATTGCAGCGGCACGAGGCGCAACTCAGCAGAACGTGAGCATTGACGTCAACGGATGCAACCGGAGCTCTGCAATATACCTTTACCTTATTTTTACTGTAATAATTAAAATTCATTCTAGATCTAGCATCGATCTGATTCACTTATATTTTAGTTATAGTAATTATATTGTAATTTTTATATTATAATAAAGTATTTTAAACTAGTTTCGGTTTTTTTTGGGTCCTTCGGCTGCAGTTAACGTAATTAATGTATGTTATTGAAGTTATGGAACTGGTTGAACATTTCAGACGTAAAATCCAAATTTCTAACTTAATAATTTTCATTAAATTCTTGGACGAGCAGTATTTTAAACGGATGAAGCTTTAGGTCTATTCTAAAATAATAAAGCGTAAGAGTTTTTTTTGTTTGTTTAAACATGTTTATCTCTGGAACTACTAGTCTGATTTGAAAAATTCTTTTGGTATATTATAGCCAAATTTATGCAGAATAGTATACGCTTTACGACATCACCTCACGGCTAGCCTTAAATATCGCGTGCTCTGGTTTAGTGGTTTGTGATACGTAAATACAATGCTCTACAAAAGTATAGACTATTACACCTTTTATAAGAAAAGTCAGCGACTTCATATGCCTATCTCTTATACATAAGCAACAATAAGGTATTATGTGATAAAAAATATTGAAAATTAAAAATGATTTATGTTCATTTTTATTAGGCGTTGTATATTAATCCTTACGAACGAAAGTTACTACATCATAAACACAATTTTATGGATATAAACTTTGATCCTTATAGCTCGTTACCTGGACGCGTAGTTTAAGATAAAATAAAAAATTAAAATAATTTTACACTAGGCTTGGTGCGCGAACGACGCATAAATTGCTCCGTCTAGACGCCTTTGATGACCGACTGTTAGTAGTAGTTAGACTCTGCCGATAGGCTGCATACTAGCTAAAACCGAGCATGCGGCCGAGAACTTAGAGAAACCATCAGTGAACGCCGGTGCGCGAGATGTCAAAATATATAGGCGTAATTGAGGTGCATGTGCCATTACATTTACCAAGTGTTCGGCGGTGAAGTAAAACACCGAGAGCAAATCTGCATGTCTGAAAAATAAAAAAAAATTTCGAAGACATGTGAAGTCGGCCAACACATATTAGGGCAGCGCGATGGACACTTCCTTGCCCAAAAACCTCTCAAAAGTGAGAAGATGCCTGTGCCCAGCAATGAGACGTGTTAGGTAACATCCAAAAGTTTCTGGCCCACGCACATTAGGTTAATCAAACATTCAAAAATATATTCGTTACCTTATTACTGCAACAAAAAAATTATAAAATTATTTAATTTTTTTGCAGTCATATAGATTCATAAAGTCAGACTGTCGATTAAACATTTTGAATTGTATAAAATTGTGTATCAAGCTGTGATAATTAAGAGTATTTAACAAAAGAGGGGAAGACACCAGTGCAAATCAAACAGCGTTTGTATGCTGTGTCCCGTACACATTCCCTTCGTACTCCACCATAAAAGAATGACAGAAACAATTTCTTTTTAGAAGGGAATCAATTGATGATGAACCGCACCCAGGACGAGCACCCGAGGCTTTTACGGATGAAAATACAAAATTTGTGGAGAAGACAGTACGGAAAGATACGAAAAAATTTGCAGCTATGACGGGACTAATACAAACAACAGTCTCTCTGCACGAACAACAGAATCCTACGCGAACAATTGGGTATGAATAATGTTAGTAATCTTTCATAAAAGGAATGAATGGAGCGGCGTAGTCCGAGTATACCTTACCTTTACCTTATTTTTACTGTAATAATTAAAATTCATTCTAGATCTAGCATCGATCTGATTCACTTATATTTTAGTTATAGTAATTATATTGTAATTTTTATATTATAATAAAGTATTTTAAACTAGTTTCGGTTTTTTTTGGGTCCTTCGGCTGCAGTTAACGTAATTAATGTATGTTATTGAAGTTATGGAACTGGTTGAACATTTCAGACGTAAAATCCAAATTTCTAACTTAATAATTTTCATTAAATTCTTGGACGAGCAGTATTTTAAACGGATGAAGCTTTAGGTCTATTCTAAAATAATAAAGCGTAAGAGTTTTTTTTGTTTGTTTAAACATGTTTATCTCTGGAACTACTAGTCTGATTTGAAAAATTCTTTTGGTATATTATAGCCAAATTTATGCAGAATAGTATACGCTTTACGACATCACCTCACGGCTAGCCTTAAATATCGCGTGCTCTGGTTTAGTGGTTTGTGATACGTAAATACAATGCTCTACAAAAGTATAGACTATTACACCTTTTATAAAAAAAGTCAGCGACTTCATATGCCTATCTCTTATACATAAGCAACAATAAGGTATTATGTGATAAAAAATATTGAAAATTAAAAATGATTTATGTTCATTTTTATTAGGCGTTGTATATTAATCCTTACGAACGAAAGTTACTACATCATAAACACAATTTTATGGATATAAACTTTGATCCTTATAGCTCGTTACCTGGACGCGTAGTTTAAGATAAAATAAAAAATTAAAATAATTTTACACTAGGCTTGGTGCGCGAACGACGCATAAATTGCTCCGTCTAGACGCCTTTGATGACCGACTGTTAGTAGTAGTTAGACTCTGCCGATAGGCTGCATACTAGCTAAAACCGAGCATGCGGCCGAGAACTTAGAGAAACCATCAGTGAACGCCGGTGCGCGAGATGTCAAAATATATAGGCGTAATTGAGGTGCATGTGCCATTACATTTACCAAGTGTTCGGCGGTGAAGTAAAACACCGAGAGCAAATCTGCATGTCTGAAAAATAAAAAAAAATTTCGAAGACATGTGAAGTCGGCCAACACATATTAGGGCAGCGCGATGGACACTTCCTTGCCCAAAAACCTCTCAAAAGTGAGAAGATGCCTGTGCCCAGCAATGAGACGTGTTAGGTAACATCCAAAAGTTTCTGGCCCACGCACATTAGGTTAATCAAACATTCAAAAATATATTCGTTACCTTATTACTGCAACAAAAAAATTATAAAATTATTTAATTTTTTTTGCAGTCATATAGATTCATAAAGTCAGACTGTCGATTAAACATTTTGAATTGTATAAAATTGTGTATCAAGCTGTGATAATTAAGAGTATTTAACAAAAGAGGGGAAGACACCAGCGCAAATCAAACAGCGTTTGTATGCTGTGTCCCGTACACATTCCCTTCGTACTCCACCATAAAAGAATGACAGAAACAATTTCTTTTTAGAAGGGAATCAATTGATGATGAACCGCACCCAGGACGAGCACCCGAGGCTTTTACGGATGAAAATACAAAATTTGTGGAGAAGACAGTACGGAAAGATACGAAAAAATTTGCAGCTATGACGGGACTAATACAAACAACAGTCTCTCTGCACGAACAACAGAATCCTACGCGAACAATTGGGTATGAATAATGTTAGTAATCTTTCATAAAAGGAATGAATGGAGCGGCGTAGTCCGAGCTCAACGCGGTCAGAAAAGCAAAGGTAACTATATCTCAAAAAAAGCTTAAGGCTATCATCATGAATACAGCCCTTCACATGTCCACTGCTGAACATAGGCCTCTGAAATACCACAAAGACGGTTTCGAGCCACCTGCATCCATCAACTTCCTGCATTTCGTCACTCCATCTAGTGGGAGGACGCCCTACACTTCATCTGCCGTTACGAGGCTGCCACTCGAGAACATTTCTTCCCCATCGGTTGTCGGTTCTCCGAGCTATATGGCCGACCCGTTGCTACTTTAGCATACTAATTCTTTGGGCTATGTCAGTTACTCTGGTTCTACTTCGGATATCCTCGTTTTTAAGTCTATCACGCAGACAAACGCCAAACATTGCCCTTTCCATAGCTCGCTGAGAAACCTTGAGCTTCATCATATGGACAGCAGTAAAGGCACACGTGTCGGATCCGTAGGTCAACACTAACAACACGCACTGGTCGCACAATCTAGTTTTGGGGTTCTGAGGTAGGTCTAACGAGAAGATATGTCGTAATCTCCCGAACCCTGCACAGGTGAGTTGAATCCGTCGATTGACCTCTCAGTTGAAGTTGGACTTACCTAGTCGGATTATTTGTCCCAGGTAAACATATTCGTCAACAACTTCGAGCTTAGTGCTCCCAACAACTACCGGCATAGGTGTGACATGGACGTTAAACATGATTTTTGTTTTGTCCATGTTAATCTTAAGAACTATTCGTTGGGAGACACTGTTGAGGTCATTGAGCATAGTGCTTAGATCCTCCAGCGATTCTGCCATACGGACTATATCGTCGGCAAATCGAAGGTGAGTGATGTACTCGCCATTGATATTGATATCGTATCTTTTCCAGTCCAGTAGCTTAAAAACGGCTTCCAATGCAGCGGTGAAGAGTTTCGGGGATATTACGTCACCCAGTCTTACACCTCTCTGCAATTGGATAGGTTTCGTGCTCTGGTTCTGTACTCGGGTAGCCATCGTAGCCCTACTGTACAAATACTTCAGCACTTCGATATACCGACAGTCCACTTGGCACCGCTGGAGGGACTATAGAACCGCCCGAATTTCAACGGAATCAAAGGATTTCTTATAGTCCGCATACGCAAGACAAAGTGGCAGATTGTACTCTTGGGTCTTCTGTACAATTTGCCGAAGGGCATGTATGTGGTTTATGGTACTAAAGCCTTTTCGGAAACCGGCTTGTTCGGGAGGCTGAAAGTCGACGAATCTGCTTGCGAGACGATTAGTAATGACTCTCGAAAACAGCACGTAGACGCGTCTCAGAAGGAAAATCGGTCTGTAGTTCTTCAAGAAAGCGTTGTCGCCTTTCTTGAAGAATAAGACCACTGCACTCCTACTCCACGTCTCTGGTTTAGTGCCACCAT